TTAAAAAAATTGTCCTAAGTGGAGAAAGTAGCTCAGTTTTTTCTGCACTCCTTTTAAGACTTGTAGTGTTATCTCGCCTGGTCCTATTGAGTAATAATTTATTTATTACCTCTCTGTAGTCTTTAACTCAATTATCTGTTTGGGTTTTAAATCTGCTAAATATAAAATATTTTTTTGTAAATACACACAATGAAATTTTCTAGACAGTACCTCACACATCTCTGCTTCATCCTTAATATAATACTAATTATAATATTTTTATTTAATTACTAAATACCTCCATTACAATAAAAACTATGTATTTTTATTCTCACATCCTTGTAATCATAATTTAGTTTTCAGGCTGCCTGAAATGCCTTGCATAATAAGGGGCTTTCTATAAAGCAGTTTATATATGTCAATCACTAAATTGTATGATGTACTGTACTCCACTTTACAAAGTTTGTTTGAACTTGCATAACCTCGTGATGAGTGGTAAGCAGTAAACAGTGATGCTAATGCCACTGCCACATATCCTGAGGTTCTGAAGAAAATTACTGAGAAGGTAGCTACACACCTCAGCAAGTATTTAACATGGATTAATCATGAAAGTGCTTTGTGCTGGGAACATGTACAATCAAGAACATTCATTTCAAGAAACAAGATGAGAGCTCCAGGATTCAGAGAGGCAGTGGACTGCCTAATTCTTCCACTAGGTGACAATGCAGTTGGAAATTTCAAGCTGAAGCCACTCTAGGTGTATAACTTTGACAACCTAAGAGCTTTGAAAACCATTGAGAAAGAAGATCCCTCAATAATCTGGCATAAGAACACAAAAGAATGGGTAACAACAGCTGTGTTTATCAAATGGTGAATAATAATTTTTAGTAAAAAAATACTGTACTGATAAAAACCTTTTTCATAAAATACTGCTGCTCATAGACAATGCAACAATTTATCCAGTAACATTAACATATGCTTCCAAATGCGTGAAGCTTCAGTTTCTTCCCAAGAACACCATAGTGTATTATGAAATCTTTCAAATCAATTTATGTGAAGGTAATCTTCACAAAACGTGTTGCAGACACTGATGGAAAGAATAAGTCAACAATCAAGGAATCATGAATGCCAAAAAACACTACCGACAACTGGTGCAATAACCAATGCATGGAAGAAATTGTGAATGCAATGAATCATCTGCAGATATTCGCAGGAAGATCAATGACCAAGTTAGGCATGCAGGGTTTGATAATGTTAAAGATGTGAAGCAGTTATTGGACTCTTGTGATGATCCTCTAGATAATGATAAGTTGCTGCAGCTTTATGAGATTGCAAACTTGGAAGAACAACAGAAAGTATGGGTAGACACTCAGCAAAGTACAGTGGACCCCCGCCTTACGATATTAATCCGTTCCTGAGAGCTCATCGTAAGCCAAAATTATCGTAAGGCGAATTAATTTTCCCCATAAATAATGGAAATCAAATTAATCCGTGCAAGACACCCCAAAGTATGAAAAAATAAATTTTTTACCACATGAAATATTAATTTTAATACACACAAACTGAAGCAGACATGCACAATTACTACTCTACTAAGAATAGAATACATGACACTTACCTTTGTTGAAGATCTGGTGATGATTGATGGGATGGGAGGAGGGGAGAGTGTAGAAGTTGTTATTGTTTAGAAGGAGAATCCCCTTCCATTAGGACTTGAGGTATCAAGTCCTTTTCCAGGGTTACTTCCCTTCTTCTTTTAATGCCACTAAGACCAGCTTGAGAGTCACTGGACCTCTGCCGCACAACAAATCTGTCCATAGAGGTCTGTACCTCCCGTTCCTTTAAGACTTTCCTAAAATGGGCCATAACAGTGTCATTGTAATAGTCACCAGCACGGCTTGCAGTAGCTGTGTCAGGGTGATTTTCATCAAAAAAGGTTTGCAGTTTAACCCACTTTGCACACATTTCCTTAATCTTTGAAGTAGGCAACTTCCTCAATTTCTCTCTCCCCTCCTCTGAAGCAGTTTCCTCAGGTCTGGCCTCTTGCTGTTGAAGATGATCATGCAGCTCTTCAGTGGTTAGTTCTTCATTGTCCTCCTCCACCAACTCTTCCACATCCTCCCCACTAACCTCCAACCCCTTGGACTTTCCCAATGCCACAATAGATTCCACAACTGGCATAGGCTCCTGAGAGTTAGCCCCAAATACTTTAAAATCCCTTTCTTCTACACATTGTGGCACAGCAGTTTCTTCCAAGCAGAGTTCAAGGTCCTCTTAGTCACTTCCTCCTAAGTGTTACCTGTAAGGTTTACACAACTGAGGATGCTAAAGTGATCTTTCCAAAACTCTCTTAGAGCCAATCAAGTGTCTGAGGTCACTTCAAAGCACTTTTGAAACATAGCTTTTGTGTAGTTTTTTGAAGTTTGAAATGACCTGCTGGTCCATGGGCTGCAGGAGGGGTGGTATTAGGAGGCAAAAACTTGGCCTTAATGAAGCTCATGTCCCTAGAAAGTCGCTCTGCCAAATCTGAAGGATGACCAGGAGCACTGTCTAATACCAGGAGGCACTTAAGGTCCAATTTCTTTTCCGTTAGGTAATTTTTCACAGTGGGAGCAAATGCATGGTGTAACCAGTCATAGAAAAGGTCCCTAGTGACCCATGCCTTACTGTTTGCCCTCCACATCACACACAAATTAGCTTTGACGACATTGTTTTGCCTGAACGCTCTGGGAGTTTCAGAGTGATACACCAATAAAGGCTTCACTTTACAATCACCACTAGCATTAGCACACATCAGAAGAGTAAGCCTGTCTTTCATAGGCTTATGTCCTGGGAGTGCCTTTTCCTCCTGAGTAATGTTGGTCCTGCTTGGCATTTTCTTCCAAAACAGGCCTGTTTTGTCACAATTAAACACTTGTTCAGGTTGCAATTCTTCACTGTCTATGTAATCCTTGAATTCCTTCACGTATTTTTCAGCCGCTTTTTGGTCCGAACTGGCAGCCTCACCATGCCTTATCACACTATGTATGCCACTACAATTCTTAAATCTCTCAAACCAACCTTTGCTGGCCTTAAATTCACTCACATCACCACTAGTTGAAGGCATTTTTCTAATTAAATCCTCTTGCAACTTCCTAGCCTTTTCACATATGATCACTTGAGAGATGCTATCTCCTATCTGTTTTTCGTTTATCCACACCAATAACAGTCTCTCAACATCTTCTATCACTTGTGCTCTCTGTTTCGAAAACAAACTTGCACCTTTTGCAAGAACAGCTTCCTTGATTGCCGTTTTGTTGGCCACGATATTAGCGAAGGTTGATTGGGGTTTGGTATACAACCTGGCCAGCTCTGAGACACGCACTCCACTTTCGTATTTAGCAATTATCTCTTTCTTCATTTCCATAGTAATTTTCACCCTTTTTCCCGCAGGGTTGGCACTAGAAGCTTTCTTGGGGCCCATTGACTTATTTTGCAGCTACAATCACTAAAAACACTGTGATAATATGAAATGTACCAAATGTATGCATGGATGCGACCGCACTGGCTGGCATGTAAACACTGGCATGCACGGGGCAGCTGAGGCCACGCGTGGGACCCGTCCCGGACGAATCGCGTGAGGCGAGTTTTTTAGCGTGAGGCAAGGCAAAATCAAAATTTTTGCGTTAAAATGTATCGTATGGCGGATTTAACGTAACGCGATGCCATCGTAAGGCGGGGGTCCACTGTACTCGACTGACTGTGGCAAATCTTGCCTTAGGATTTCATAAGTTTGAAGAATGGATAGAACACAGTCCATCGGCCGAAACGCTGATTGCACAATGGCCTTTGATATTTAAAAGAACAATGCAGTGGGGTGTTACAGGAATTTATTTGTAGAGAAACAACTTCGAGCCAGACAGCTATCAACTGAAAGTTTCTTTAAGAGTGTTAGTCCTCATGCATCCAGCACACAGTCATCAGCATCCAGGACCCATTCACTTGATAGAGACCAGCCCTCTACACCCAGGACCCCTTCTCTTGGTAGAGAATGGCCGTCAGCATGAGATCCTCATTTGATATAGAGCAGCCCTAAACATTCAAAACACATTCAGCTGACAGTGAGAAGAGTCCTACAAGCTGGGCGTTATACAACAGCAACTCAACTTTCAGTCCTATATCTTCCAGCACCATTCTCTCCTCATCAGATTACTCTGATGAGGAAGTCAGTGTTCCAACCCCTTCCTCTAATTCACTCATTCTCTTGTTTTCTTCATTCTTACCTGAGTTCCTTTCTAACCCCCTTACCTATGTGCCAATAATGGCTTCAATGAACAATGCTGTCTCTACACTACTGTGCCTCAACACTGCTGTCTCTCTACAACACTGCCTTTACACTGCTATACCTCTACACCAAGAGAAATGAGACACTTATGCAACAGATGCTGCATAAGTGTCTCAATTCTCCAACTTGTTGGTTTTCAAAACCATTCATCACATCTGTCAGACACTGCATCATCATGGGATCTTGATACAAAGAATTCTTCAAAACTTGTCCAATCTTTGGATGAAGACCTACTTAGACTAGTGGATGGTTCCACTATAACCCCGCCTCCTCCTGCTTCGCCTCACCTGACTACAGTATATAAGCCACCACTACAGCCTTGTGCTGTACATTCTACAAGATTGATGGACTGAACTCATCGACTCCAGGCTGAGGGACTGATTACCTCAAACTCTTTCTCTCCTTATACCTTCCTGCTTTGTACAGGACTGATGAAGCCACTGTGTAGTGAAACGTTTCTTCAATAAAGATTCCCATATGTTGCATAAGTGTCTCAATTCTTCAGCAAATAATGTAAAAGGTGTGGCATACTGAGAGTAATCCAGCAAAATCCCAGTTAAGTATGTAGATGTTTTAAAAGGTCTGGAGTGAACAGTATTTCAAGACAAGGTAAGAATATCAAAAGTACAGTATACCATGTACCAGTGCTCATCAGTCATTAACAAAACATCGGTGATAAAAACAGGCAACTACATACTTTTATTCTGAGCTTAGCTTGATTCAGCATATCCTGCAGAGACGAGCCGGGTCTTCTCTCTGCCATTGGACTATGATCCTGTAGGAAATAAAATTATTATAATTTATATTTAATGCATAATTAATACAGGGAAACAGAGAATAAAAAGTCACAATATAGTGGCTGAAACAATATATATTGCAGAACACCATATATTATAAAAATATATTATGGTAAAGATATTAACTATTTATGAGTGACAAGAGGAATATAGGAGAAGGCAAAAGTTAAATGGGAAGAATCAATATAAAATAAAATGTACGAGTAATCTTTACTGAAATACATACAGCAGAACTTCCTAATTCAAAGTCACATTCCTAGTGGCCCCACAAATGTAAAATAAGTAAATAATAAAAACTATGCATGTAAAATAATTATCAGCACCCAAGGGTGGAAGCTTGATCCTCTTTCTACTATCAGGTTTCAAAAGATGTCTTTAAATATAACTCTTATCTAGTAATACTGACATCCACATGAAACAACGACTCCCTTCCCTTCGCACTTTTGACTGAAAAGTTCATGGTTCAGATTGGACCGAAACGTTGTCATAAGTTTCATTCTCCTATGTGCAGGCTATTTGCTTACTGAAACAATGATTAGAGAGATTTGGGCATGGGAAAACCAGTGAGCATACCTAAAATGAAATCTCATGGTTATTTTTCAATTTAGGAGTAATGCAGCAAGCTCCAAAATAAGTGCATCATGAAAAACACAACATAATCCAACCTATTTCTCAGAAGCCCTTCAGTAAAGTGAATTAAAACCCATGAATTTGGGGGTTTGACTATCTCACTCAGACTTTAATGCTGGAGGGCCATGTAAGTCTTGCACCGATATGCAGGATAACCCTCGCCATCTCGTTTTGATTAACTTTTATAGAGTATTTTTTTTTGTATTTTTGTCAGAGCTGAATAAGTACTATAAGCAGCAACAGCCTACATACATATTATATATCAGCATTGCTATGATGCACCTCTGCAATATGCAGGGTGATTATCCTGGAGCTGAAGGGAGTCCTGAAACCACAAATAACACAAAAATTTGCCATCTGAATAATTTAAAGTTTTCCTCTCATTTCTTAAAATACAGTAGGACCCCTGTATCCACGGGGGATATGTTCCAAGGACCTGCTGCGGATACCAAAACTGCGGATAGTAGCAAACCCTCTATACAAGTCCAATACATACCTATTATAAAGTTTAATTGATAAATTATGCACAATAAGTAGAGAATTATCCCTTTTTCACTGATGGGAAGCACTTCAGGGCTTCTCTTAGGCTTTGAAGAACTGCCACCTTCTCTACTTTTGCATTTTGGGGCCATTAGTATGCAAAATTGAAAGGTATTTTTGGGCAATAGTAAACCATGGATAACTGAAACAGAGGATACCGAATCTGTGGATACGAGGGTTCTACTGTATGTACTGTATTAATCAAACTTACAGTAAACCTTCGATTTACTGGACTAACAAGGGAGAGCCAGTGGTTGGTAATAGTAACTGTGGTGGATAGATAGAGATGAGAAAGTTTTGTTGACTGTGATACTTTACAGACAATTCTGTAATGGATATGATGTACAGGAGGGTCCTGCTTATGCAGCTGGTCAGGTTCCAGGCTAACCCTGTAAAGTGAAACATATCCTTTTTTCTATTTTGAAATGCATGTAAAAGCCTGATAACATGTTTATATTACCATACATTAAGTGAGCAATAGAGCTATGCCTAAAAAATGTATATACAGTACACACATTACTTATCTTAAAATATTTTCAACTTTAGCTTAAAGTGAGTGGTGAATATATTTATTGTAGGAATTCTGAATAAATGAAGAATGGGTATAACTGAAAACCACGGCATTAGCGAAATGCTGTGAGTGAAGCACTTTAGAGCAGGGCCCGCCTGTAAATGGCTTAGAAAACCGATAAGTTCAGGAATGAGCACTTTTGCAACATTTGTGAATCCTTATTACAGAAACCTTTTGCCAGCCAGTGGCTTCTTCAACCTGGTGGCTGAGGGACTGATTACCTCAGCCAGGGTTGATCCAAGGAAGGAGAAGGTAATTTCAATTCCTTGAGTCAAAAACCCTTCACCAGCCTTAATGTACCCCCATTCAAAGAGAGTAATACAAGAGAACCCAGGGTACTACCTTGTGGGACTCCATGCTATTGTCAACTGGTTCTGATTCAGTATTTGTCTGGTGGGCAAGTTCTGCATGTCAACGAGGAAGCTCTAAACACTTAAGAGGTCAAACAGAGCCTGAGGAATAGGTGGCCAATAGAGTCATTCCAATGAAGAGAAGAGCAGTTCCTGGAGATTAAGTCTCAATGGACGTTAAGTCACTTTTTTTGACTCTTTTAGTGTTATCATGGAGAGTTTACACATGTTACTATATATATGACAATTATAAAAATCTAAAACTGTGTAAAATGCCTAAATAAACTTGATTTATGCCACTGACTGACTAAGTGACAGGAGTTAAGTTTATTCAGGTACACAATTAGTTTTCATTAAACACAATAACATTATTAGTCACTCGTTTACATCAGAGAACATCCATTTAAACTAAAATATAAATTTCAGTATCAAACAAAAGTGACAGGAAATCTTACCAGGTGACTTAAATAAATAAAACAAACTCGACAGCAACTTCAAACCAGATCTTTGTTATTCTTTAATTTCTAACCAGACGTGGTACTTCTTCAGAAATAATAGAGAAACACTTTACTTCCCCTATACTAACACAAATTTCCATATTTTTTCAGCCTAAACGTAATTCACTTTACACAATACACGACATTCATATATTACATATTGCAACCACAGAGTGTAATATTACTTAAAGTTTGAGCGACGAGTATTACTGGAACTTGTTCGAGCTAAGATTCACTTGAAGTTTCGGAAATAAATAAAATTTATATTTGTAATATATACCTGCCTAGGATAGGGAAATAACCAGGTGACTGAACATACAAAGACAAATATAAAAATGAATATATGCTTAGACATGGAGATGTGACTTTATGACATTAGAATAAGTTATGTAGGTAGATAGGCAGATATATATAGCCCTGTCGATATGACAGATAGACTTGCGGATATAACAGACATACATGTACATATAATATAAAATCATCTTTATTTCTACAAGTACATGTACAAGGTATACAGTCCTAGCTGACATCAATAACATACTACTATAGAGAAAGCCCCTGGCTATGCAGAGCATTTCGGGCAAATTAGGTCAGTTTTGTCCCAGGATGCGACCCACACCAGTCCACTAACACCCAGGTACCCATTTTACTGATGGGTGAACATAGACAACCGGTGTAAGGAAACACGTCCGATGTTTTTACCCTTACCGGGAATCGAACCCGGATCCTCAGCGTGCGAAGTGAGAGCTTTTTGCCACCAGGTCACAGGCGTGGAGTTTACCTAACCTAACAGATTAACATGTTGATAAGACAGACATGTAGATATAACACATAGTCATGTAGATATAGACAAGTTATAGCAGATAGACATGTAATAGACAAGATTTTGTTCGGATTTTTAACCCCGGAGGGTTAGCCACCCAGGATAACCCAAGAAAGTCAGTGCGTCACCAAGGGACTGTCTTATTATCATTGGGGTTGAGCTCAGTCTTGTCCCCCCGGATGCGACCCACACCAGTCGACTAACACTCAGGTGTCTACTCGCTAGGTGAACAGGCGTAAGGAAACACGTCGAATGTTTTCACCCCTGCCGGAAATCGAACCCGGACACTCAGCGTGTGAAGCGAGAGCTTTGCCAGTCAGGCCACGGGGCCCCATATACATATAACAGATAGACATGCAGATATAACAGATAGACATGTAAATATAACATGCAAAACATGTAATATAACAGATATACATGAATATATGACACACAGACACGAAGATATAACACAAAGATGTAGGTATAACAAAGATAGACATCAAACAGTTTAATATCTTTATGTACCTCATACTCATCTTGTCAGAAAGTTTATTCAGGTACAGGTACACATGTGTACAGGTACACAAGTTTAGGTAATTAAAATTATCATATGTAGTAACATTTGTGTAAACTACCTAGCACAGGCAAGTAGATATAGCAGATACCTGGAGGTCAGGCCTGATCAACCAGGCTGTTACTGCTGGCCGCACGAAATCCAACGTACGAACCACAACCCGGCTGGTCAGGTACTGACTTTAGAGAGGGAAAAAGAGAGAAGAACCACGTTGTATTGTATTGTCCAGACCAGAGCTTTGGTAAGATGGATAAGGAAGAAGGATGGGTAAGGATAAAAATATTGGAAAAGGGTGGGAGGGGGGAGAGAGGTAGGATATAAAAGGTAAGTGGCCCAACCACTTTGGTGTAATTTAAAAAGTGTATGTGAAATGATAAAATATTCTTTAAGGGGTATAATACTAACCCATCAGTCACATAGATATAACAGATATATAAGTACATGACTCTGAATTGGTAGTAATTATACAAGTTGCAATTGCTTTTTTTTGCGATTGCACAACGGATATTTATGCGACAATGAAGGCAATAATTTTCTGGCCAGTTTATGGAATTACGTGACAATGGCTTCTTACAGGTGGTGTCCAGCCATAGTAAATAGCATAATTTTTACATTAGATTGTTATATAAGATGTTTCCCTAATTGGGAGCGATGATTTTCTCAGTACACATAGAAGGGTTCTGGTGTTACCCAATCTTCATCAGGGAGGTTGCTCAATATCATTGGTCGATGGTAATCATCTTTATGGATAAAACGACGGACCCTCTGTGGGAGAGTCATTCTTTGAGTCCTGTGAGGAGGAGTATTGATGATATAATCCGTGGTATTTACCACTTGTATAGGATGTTCTCTATCTGGCATGTATAGTTCTTGCATTGTATAGAGTTGTTTCTTTTTCAGGGTGTCCAGGCGTACATTTATGACAGTAATATCTTGTTGTACGTGTAAATCTGCCATTTTAACTCTGTCTCTCCTCCTGGTACCCGTAATGAAGCGAAGAGCTCTATTCTGGACCCTTTGTAACCGTAGCATGTTGATCTTTGTTGTTAATGACATTGGGACACATGGGTATTCGAGTATAGGTCTTATTATCATTTTATACAGATGTTTTTTGACATGTTGAGGGGCTTGATTGAATCGAAAGAGACTGCTAAGACCGGCTTTGGCTATGTTGATCTTTTTAGTTACATGAGATGTTGAGTGGAGCAGCCTGTCTATTTCATATCCCAAAATCTTGTTAGGGCTTCTAATGGCTACAGGTGTACCTCTGATGGAGATACCCCCTTTATCTTCGATTGTTGATGCAAAATATCCTATCGTGCTTACAAGGACTTTGTCAGGATTAGTCGTAATTCTCCATTTCTTTTCCCAATTAGATGTTCGACGAAGTTCAATATTCATTTTTTCTATGACTCTCTCATACTTGTATTTTCCTGTTACCGGAGTTGAAGAGACGACATGAATAACATCATCTGCAAACTGTGTCACAATTGTATCATTAAACTCTGGTTGAGGAAGGTCATTCACATAAATGTTGAACAGAATTGGACTGAGACAAGAACCTTGTGGGACACCAGCTGTTGGTATAAAAGGCTCTGTCGACCTGCCATGAAAGGTGGGAATGATTTTTCTTTGAGTTAAGAAATTATATATTAATCTGAGAAAAGTCCAGTTATGGTCTGGTAGGTCAATGAGTTTGTATATAAGGCCATCATGCCATTAAGCTATCAAAAGCTTTATGAACATCTCTGGTGGCAATTAGGGCAAGATTGCCCTGATGTTTTAGACTTGCTACAGTATCGAAAATAATATTTATTGCATGATGGGTACCTCCATGTGTTCTAAAGCCAAATTGTTTTTCAGTAAAAAAGTGATTAAACTCCATATAGTAGTTCAATCTGTTGGAAATGATCTTTTCAAGAACTTTTCCAGTGACTTCAAGTAAAGATATAGGTCTATAGTTCCCAGGTTGGTGGATGTCTTTATTGGGCTTACCAAGAAAGATCATCCTAGCAGTCTTAAAAATCACTGGAAAATGTCCTGAGGCCAAGATGGCATTAAAGATATTTACCAAAGACTGTTTACAATTTCTGGGTAGGAACTTTATTTGTTTCATTGTTATTCCAGAGAGGCCAGGGGCTCTATTTCGCATTCTTCCAATAACCTGACTCATCTCTAGTAATGTAATAGGTCTAGTAAGCGGGTGGGTATCTTCAAGAGTTGAAGTATCGATGGAAGGTAGTGGTTGTAGATCATCCAAGTTCTCATCTCTCCATTCATTTACCAACTGATAGTGATTATTGTTAAATTGACGACTGTTATTGTGGGAGAATTTTCTCAAATTAGCCTGGTCCTGTGGATCGTCAAGTTTAATTTCAACATCTTCATCATCCTCATCAGTGAAGGTATGAACTAGGTAGTTAGGAGCCTTGTGCTTTGTAAATCTTGCAAACAAGGCAGCCAGGAAGCTAAAAGCACTTGGCCGTATCTCGCATCTGCTTGACAGTAGGGGTTGCAAGATTCTGTATGAGGTACAAGTACGCTCACACCTTGAGTATGCTCCACTTTCTTGGTTTGCCTGCCCTCCCCCCTCTCATCTGCGATTGCTTGACAGAGTAGAGAACAGAGCAAGACGTCTCATCTCTTGCCTGGACCCATCCTGGATAGATATGTCATTTCAGCAGAGCCTTCAACACAGGAGGGATGTGGGTGGCCTTACTGTTATGTATGTACAAGGCCAATATTGTCAAAGTACCACACTTGGATCCACTTCGAGGACAGCGAGAAGCAAGCTTCTATACCACAAGACGGGCAGAAAGCAGCAACTTCACTCTGGCTGTACCCTTCTCCAGAACATCACTTCATCTTGAGATCATTTATCCCCAGGATGACTCGAGTATGGAACACATTCGTACAGCATTATGATGTCAGTTGATCAATGAAAATGCTGGCCCACAGATGGCTCCAACTTCATCCTGTTCCCTGCTTGTATGTTTCATAACAATAAAAATACTTTCAAATGGGCTGATGTAGGTAACAGCTCTTAGGTTGTCAATAAAGTTGGGAATCCTTAACTTAACCTTGTCAAACCCTGTGAAAGAGAGAGAGAGAGAGAGAGAGAGAGAGAGAGAGAGAGAGAGAGAGAGAGAGAGAGAGGAGAGAGAGAGAGAGAGAGAGAAGATAGAGAGAGAGAGAGAGAGAGAGAGAGAGAGAGAGAGAAGAGAGAGAGGAGAGAGAGAGAGAGAGAGAGAGAGAGAGAAGAGAGGAGAGAAGAGAGAGAGAGAAGAGAGAGAGAGAAGAGAGAGAGAGAAGAGAGAGAGAGAAGAGAGAGAGAGAAGAGAGAGAGAGAGAGAGAGAGAGGAAGGAGAGAGAGAAGAGAGAGAGAGAAGAGAGAGAGAGAAGAGAGAGAGAGAGAGAGAAGAGAGAGAGAGAGAGAGAGAGAGAGAGAAGAGAGAGAGAGAGAGAGAGAGAGAGAGAGAGAGAGGAGAGAGGAGAGAGAGAGAGAGAGAGAGAGAGAGAGAGAGAGAGAGAGAGACGTTTGGAGCGCAAAACAATACAATCAATCAATCAAGTTTATTCTCTATAAGGATTACAATGCAGGGTTTACATATTTTGGTTATTGTGTGGTTTACATGTAATAAAATACTAATTACAGAGGGGGCCACTAGAATACCTAGCAAGGCTAGGCATTTCGAGCAAACTTAGTTTAATTCTTAACATTAAATTACAAATTATGGAGTAAGTTGACTAAATACTAAGTGACTAAATACTAGTTTGTGAGTTTAGCAATGTGAATGCTTTTGTTTTGGCACAATGCATAGTTTCTATATTGGAGTATCACAAGCAAACTTATGACTAGTTAGGAATCATTATTTTAAGATTAAGATTCGTATTTCTGTGATTATAGTTAAATGGGTGAGTGTAAGTGTGAACCACCAGGTGGTTTTTATGTAGTTAGTTGACGGGGTGTATCAGGGAGATAAGATGTTTTCTAATGGTAGTTTTGAAGGTGATGAATGTGTCTGCAGTTCTAGAGTTCTCAGGTAGGGTGTTCCAGATTTTAGGGCCTTTGACATACATTGAATTTTTGTAAAGGTTTAGTCGGACACGGGGAATGTCATAGAGATGTTTGTGTCTGGTGTTATGCCTGTGGATCCTGTCACAACTATCAAGAAAGCGTTTTAGGTCAAGGTTAATATTGGAATTTAAGGTCCTGTAGATATAGATTGCACAGTAGTAAGTGTGGATGTTCTGAACAGGGAGTAAGTTTAGATCTATGAAGAGTGGGGGGGATGTGTTGCCGGGGATGGGATTTAGTGATTCTTACTGCGGCTTTTTGTTGGGTTATTAGTGACTTTAGGTGTGTTGCTGCAATTGATCCCCAAGCACAAATAGCATAGGTGAGGTATGGATAAATGAGTGAATGGTATAGACAGTTTTTACAGGAAAAAAATGAAAATGACGGTAAAGCAATTAAGAGAAACTTTTATCAATAAAGTAATAAATTACATGTATGAACATTATGTGCTTAACTGTCCACTTATTGAGGAATAAAGAGATAGACAGTATAATAACCCATGTGACATGTCAAGATATCTTATTAATGAAAATAAGATACCAGATATACTAAGTAAGCTTCCTAAATTTTCATGTAACAGATAAGTGAACTGTAGATATGTAGATATAAATCCAAATGTATACCTGTTAACCCTTTTGGGGCCTAGTTCCTGGGCCTTTTGTGTATCCATATGCTCTTGCGCTACCCTCCACAGGATGGATATGGGGTGTACAATAAACTAGCCACTTCGGTGACAAAATCTAATCTAGGGATAAAGCAATAAAGAGAAAAAGGTTTAGGAGGTACAGGAAAAATAGTTTTGGCGCGCAAAATAAAATGTTGTGGCTCGTACGTTGGACTGCGTGCGGCCAGCAGTAACAGCCTGGTTGATCAGGACCTGATCCACCGGGAGGCCTAGTCATGGACCGGGCCGCTGGGGCGTTGATCCCCGGAATAACCTCCAGGTAACAACAATTGGACCCAAGGAAAATAAGCCACTTTGGCTGTTTTTGTGTTATTCTGGGTAATTATTAACCAAGAATAACTAAATATTATCATACAAGACTGTACCTAAATAAACTTACAAAAGAAACGCCAAGTTGGGACGCGCAAAACTACTTTTCTTTTAGGTTCGTAAGGCGTTTAAAAAAATATTTTACGCGCGCAGATTTCGAACCCCATTAGTGAAGCTGCTTCGTTTTGCCTCTCGAGTTCGAAGCCGGAAGTGGTGGGAGGATCAGTGGAGGCGAGATATACTGAACCCAAACAATATAAGGTTAGTCTTAATCCTTTAGAAGGGATTTCAGCGGGTCTTTAAAACCTTTACTTGGAGTCTTAACAGTGGGGAATAGGAATCTAGATCAACCAAGAATATATTATAGTCTAGGGAGGGGAATTTGAGATGAATGATGCGTCTGCTGATAAGGACCGATAACGAAATCGCCCCCCTTTATAAAGATTAGGGCTGCCCCACAGTAAGGTATATCCAAATGTACAATATACCTTACTGTGGGGCAGCCCTAATCTTTATAATAGGATATCCCTTAAGGGAAACTTGTAAATGATTGTTGTTTTTAATAATAAATAATAATAATAATAATAAAATAATAATAAAATAATAATAATAATAATAATAATAATAATAATAATAATAATAATAATAATAATCAATAAGGATAATAATAAAGCGAAAGGTTGACATAAATTGCATGGAGTCTTTACGTTATAATTTCGAGTTAATGTTAGTTTCTCTCTGAATAGGTAATTAAGGCATCGATACCATGCCTAACCCTTCTAGGGTAGGGTAGGTGCCTGAGCCCGAGCCTTTAACTCATAAGACTGTCATTCCCATTTGCCCCTTTGGGGCGGGGATGGCAGACCAGAGAGGCCTAGCTTGTGGCTAGGCCTAGGGACAGTTGGTCCCAAAGATGAGGAGATATTGTGCCTCCTCCCATGGGAGACTTAGGTCTCAGACACTCCCTAAAGAGGGATTTATTATTATAATCAAAAAGAAGCGCTAAGCCACAAGGACTATACAGCGCCCCTAAAGAGGGAGCCAAGGCCGGGCCACCACTTGGAAAAGGCCCGGGCCACCACTTGGAAAAGGCCCGGGCCGGGAGAATACCGGCTAATCTTTAATAATAATAATAATAAAGGTAATTAAGGTATCTATTTTATGTAAACATGTGAATAGTCTCATGATTCCTGGGTATCTTGCTAATAATAATTGTTGGATTGTTGCAGATGTTGCAAGTTCTGGCCGGTACTCAGTCCAATGACACTACCAGTAACATCCAGGAAAGTACCAGTAACATCCATGGTCCTACCAGTAACATCCATGGTCCTACCAGTAACATCCACAACCTTCCCAACATTTCCGAGAACCCTCCCAGCATGAGTGAAGATGTTGGCATTCATTCTGATGCTCAGGACTCTGCAGGCACCATCGAAGTCCCTTCCAACAATATGAAAGATCCTTCAAGCAGTACACAAGTCCCTCCCAGCAACACCGACGTTCCTCCCAGCGAGGCGAAGTCCCAGGAGGCCTGGGAGAAGAGGAGTGAGGACTCTCTAAGCTCTGACTCGGGGCTAAGAACACCTGTGGACTGTAGAGGACGTCTGAAACTCGTCCTCACCTCCACACCATGCCAGGTGATACATCCAGACTCTCATTTGAAACATCTTGTCACCATACAAAGTGAAACATTTCATACCATGCCAGATGACACTTCATAATAACGGGTGACACATGATACCATGCCAGGTGACTCGTCTCAGTACCATGCTGCGTGACACATGATACCATGCCAGGTGACTCGTCTCAATACCACCTTGATTCAGATTCAAATAAAATATTGGCTAGAAACCATACGAGTTAATCTCTTGTTTATGTGTATGTCGTGCTGAATAGGTAAAATTGGTCACTTAGCAAGAACTCATTTAAAATTAAGTCCTTTTAAAAAAAAATTCTCTTGCGTTTAAAGATATATTTTTTCATTTATGTTAATGTAAAAATTAATAATTTTGTACGAAAAGAACCTTTGAAATGGTTGTTCTGCATATATATATATATATATATATATATATATATATATATATATATATATATATATATATATAAACACTGATCTCTGGCTGAAGGAAACTTGAACCTACGAACCTTGGAACAAGGTACGCAGTGCTATACCAATCTCACCACACTGGACCAATACCTTAGCGTCCAGCTTGCGCTACACGTTGATCCAATGCAGCCAGCTTTCAGGGAGAAGGCTTACAGCTTTTCATCTCATCCCCTGCATGCATCAGCCTTGCTAGAGATTTTAACAATGCAAGGAATTCGCGAGAGCAGGCGAAATATACACAAACACTGATCTCTGGGACTCTGGCTGAAGGAGACTCGAACCTACGAACTTTGGAACAAGGTACGCAGTGCTATACAAATTTCACCAAGGTATTGTCCAGTGTGGTGAGATTGGTATAGCACTGCGTACCTTGTTCCAAGGTTCGTAGGTTCGAGTCTCCTTCAGCCAGAGATCAGTGTGTATATTATGCCTGCTCTTGCGAATTCCTTGCATATATATATACATATTAATATATTATATATATATATATATATATATATTTATATATATATATATATTATATATTATTAATAATAATAATCTTCACTTCCATAAAACTACAATTGCGTGTCAGGAAGAACCGATAGGAATTTAATAACTGAATACGTTAATACAAGGTTTTCAACACAACTGCTGCTTATTGAAAATTGGGGATCAAATAATTACGCTCTTTAATATAAGCGTTGGTGTGAACCAGCGGGATAGCGAGTGTTGGCTGGCGCTTTTGTTGGGGTAGTGAGTGTTGGCTGACACTTTTGTTGAGGTAGCGAGTGTTGGCTGACACTTTTGTTGAGGTAGCGAGTGTTGGCTGACACTTTTGTTGAGGTAGCGAGTGTTGGCTGACACTTTTGTTCTTTAATGTCTGTTATTACTATTCGGCTCTTTTGTTTGGCCTATTTTTTTTGTTGAACGTACTGCTGTTGGGAGTGAATCTTACTCACGACTGAAAAAGTATTCTACATTTTTTCACTTTTTTTTGGTGGTTATTGTCACAAAATATAATGCACAAAGAAGGAAAACTCCTTCCATACCGCATGAAGTCAAATGCTCAATGGTTTTGATAAGCTCTCGGTGGTTGGTGGTCCACATACACTTCCTTCAGAGAGTTTGGTTCTGAGCCCGGATTCTACTAAGTATGTTACACCGAGGCGGCGAGGCTATGTTTACTACACGAATGAAACCACACCCCGGACCGATGCAACTAGGGAGTACCATTCGGGGCTCCTAGGAGTGAAACTCTGTATCATTGCAATCCCGCTGTTATCAACGAAGTTTTATGTGCTGAGCGCGACCGGCTCCCCTCACTGTAGATTTTTGGCACGGCGTCTCAGGGTTACCAGGCGATGGCGACAAGGGAAGGCCGTTTATAACCGAGGCAGCGCCGGCAGACGAACGGAAAGAGGTCAGGCGAGTGAACAACAAGGGATGTTAGGTAGACTGTGTGTAGGAAGTGGTGGATAGAACGAGTGTAGTGTAAGTGGTGGTAGCCGTGAGTAGTGTTCGATGTGTAGAAAGTGAGTCAGTGCCGTGGAGGTAGCGTGAGAAGTGTAGTGGTGGTAGAACGTGAGTCAGCACGCCGAGGTGGTCGAATGTTTAGTGCAGTGGAGGTGACGTGATTGCTCCTCGATGTCCGTGGTGGTAGACGCAACTAGAGAGTGCGTGGTGGAAGAACGTGTGTGTGTAGTGGTGTGGTTTAGCAACGTGTGCAGTGTCCACCCCCCTTAGTGGTGGTTTTAGACGTGTGTCGGTAGTGGTGGTCGAACGGTTTGTAGTGTCGTGGTGGTAGAACGTCTTTGTGAAGTTGTCGTGGTGGTAGAAACGTGTGTAGTGCAGTGGTGGTAGATAGAACGTGTGCTAGTGTAGTGATGCTAGGAAAGTGTGAAGTGCGTGGTGGTAGAAAGGGTGTAGTGTCGTGATGGATAGAAGTCGTGTAGTGCAGTGGCTGGTAGAACGTGTGTAGTGTCGTGATGGATAGAAGTGTGTAGAGAGTGGTTGGTATACGTTAAGTAGGTGTAGGGCTGGTAGAACGTGTGTAGATTAGTGCATGTGTAGACCGTGTGTAGTGTAAGTGGTGGTTTAGATAACGTGATGTTGTGTCGTGATGGTAGAACGTGTGTAGTTGAAGTGATGGTAGAACGTGTGTAGTGTCAGTGGTGGAAGAAGATGTGGACGTGCCTAGGTACGGTAGAACGAGTGTAGGTAGTGATGGATCGAACGTGAGTAGTGCAGTGCGTGTATAAGTATGTAGTGTAGTGATGGTAGCCGTTGTAGTCTGTAGTGATGGTAGAACGTGGTTGTGAAGTGGTGGATTGAACGTGTGTGTGTAGTGTGGTAGAACGTGTGTCGTGTAGTCGGTGTTTAGAACTACGTGTGTCGTGTAGTGATGGTAACGTGTGTATGTAGTGGTGTTAGAACGTGTGTAGAGTAAGTGGATGGTAGTACGTTGTGTTGTGTAGTGGTGGAAGAAAACGTGTCCTGTAGCTGTAGTGATGGTAGATAGAAACGTCTTGTAGTGTAGGTGATGTTTTTAGCCACGTGTGTGTTGTAGTGATGGTTAGAAACGGTATATGTGTGTATTGATGTTAGACAGAGTGTAGTGTGTGATGGTAGAAAGTATGTAGTGTAGTGCATGGTTAGACCGTGCAGAAGTGCAGTGGCTGGTAGAACGTGTGTTAGTGTTGTGATGGTAGAACGTAGTAGTGTAGTGATGGTTAGAACGCCTATGTTGTGTAGTAGATTGCATTAGAAGCTATGTAGTGTATTTGCTGGGTCGAAGTGTGTAGTTGTAGTGATGGTAGAAGTATGTAGTGAAGTCGATGCGTAGAACGATAGTTAGAGTCAAGTGGTGGTAGAAGGTGTGTAGTGTAGTGATGATTAGAACGGTAGTGTAGTGTAGGATGGTAGAACGTGTGTAGAGAAGTGATGGGTCGAAGTTGTGTAGTGTAGTGGTGGTAGAAGTATGACGTGTGTAGTGGTGGTAGACAGAGTGTAGTGTAGTGAAGGAAGAACGTGTGTCGTGTCGAGGTGGTAGAAAGTATGTAGTGTCGTTGATGGGTAGAAGTGTGTCGTGTAGTGGATGTAGAACGTGTGTAGTGTTAGTGATGTAGCGTGTGTAGTGTAGTGATGGTCGATTAGAAGGGTGTCGTGTAGTAGTGGACTAGAAGTATGTAGGTGTAGTGATGGTCAGAACGTGTGTTAGTGTAGTGGTCGGTAGAACGTGTGTAGTGTAGGGTGGAAGAACGTGTGTGTGTAATGATGTTAGACATGTGTGCGTGGTTTTAGAAAGTGTGTAGTTGTAGTGATGGTAGACGTATTGTAGAGTCGTGAAGGTATCCGAGATACTGAGTAGTGATGGTAGCACGGAGTAGTGTCAGTGATGGTAGAGTGTGTGTGTCAGTGATGGTAGGAACGTGTGTAGCTGTCGTGGATGGTCGAACGTGTTGTAGTGTATCGTGGTGGTAGACACGTGTGTCGTGTAGTGATGGTTAGCACGATGTAGTGTAGTGGTGGTATTTAGAAAAAGTGTGCTAGTGTCGTGAGTGTAGAGCGTGTGTAGTGTAGTGATGGTAGAACGTGTATGTAGTGTAGTGATGGTAGAACGTGTGTAGTGTAGTGGTGGTAGAACGTGTGTAGTGTAGTGATGGTAGAACGTATGTAGTGTAGTGATGGTAGAACGTGTGTAGTGTAGTGGTGGTAGAACGTATGTAGTGTAGGTGGTAGAAAGGGGTTTTGTAGTGTAGTGGTGGTAGAACGTTTTTGTAGTGTAGTGATGGTAGAACGTGTGTAGTGTAGTGTGGTAAAAACGGTTAGTGTGTGAGGGTAGAACGTGTGTAGTGTAGTGGTGGTAGAACGTATGTAGTGTAGTGATGGTAGAACGTGTGTAGTGTAGTGATGGTAGAACGTATGTAGTGTAGTGATGGTAGAACGTGTGTAGTGTAGTGATGGTAGAACGTATGTAGTGTAGTGATGGTAGAACGTGTGTAGTGTAGTGGTGGTAGAAGGTGTGTAGTGATGGTAGAACGTGTGTAGTGTAGTGGTGGTAGAAGGTGTGTAGTGATGGTAGAACGTGTGTAGTGTAGTGGTGGTAGAACGTATGTAGTGTAGTGATGGTAGAACGTGTGTAGTGAAAGTGTGGTAGAAGTATGTAGTGTAGTGATGGTAGAACGTATGTAGTGTAGTGATGGTAGAACGTATGTAGTGTAGTGATGGTAGAACATGTGTAGCGGTGGTAGAACGTGTGTAGTGTAGTGATGGTAGAACGTATGTAGTGTAGTGATGGTAGAACGTATGTAGTGTAGTGATGGTAGAACATGTGTAGCGGTGGTAGAACGTGTGTAGTGTAGTGATGGTAGAACGTATGTAGTGTAGTGATGGTAGAACGTATGTAGTGTAGTGATGGTAGAACTTGTGAAAGCGGTGGTAAAAACGTGGTGTTTAGTGAGGGTTTAGAACATGTTCGGTTTTAAAAGGGTGTAGTGTAGTGATGGTAAAAAGTATGAAAGGTGTAAAGGTAGAAAAGGGTTTTTAGTGAGGGTAGAACATGTGTAGGGGGTAAAAGTTTGTGTGTAGTGAGGGTAGAACGTTGTAGTGGTGATGGTGAACGTGTGTAGTGTAGTGGTGGTAGAACGTTGTTGTGGGATGGTAAAAAGGGTTGTATGTAGTGGGGGTTTAGAAAATGTTTTATGTAGGGGTGGAAACGTTTTGTGTGTAGTGAGGTAGAACGTTGTAGTGTATGTGGTAAACTTTGTGTTTTGGGTTTAGTGGTGGAAAAATTTTTGGTTGTAGTTAGTGGGGTAAAAACGGTTTTGTAGTGGTGTAGAATT